AAAGATCCCTCCCTGCTTAATGGCCCTGAGTGCCGAGCATAAGCCTAAATTTGCAGCCCTTCACCGGCAATGGTGACGTCTTCATATCAGTGAAATATTCTGGAGAGGGACAGTATACAGTCAATCAATCAATCTCCCTTTGCTTGTTCTTTTTTCTCTCTTCCTCCTCTTCTCTCTGTTCGAGTTGGCTCAATATTTCCTCTCCTGTCTCCTGTCCATTAAATTTCAATTTATTAGAAATTAAATTGTACTTTCAGATCTTGTACAGATATCGACAGATAAAGCTTCATTATATGTGTAACTCTATCATCAATTTAAATAGTTACTTTTGTAAGCATAAGTTGTTTTTATTTAAACATTTGTTTATTATTAAGTATACCAAAATGTACCTGTAAGAACTCTTGATTTGGTTATAATTCTTCTCTTTTTTTCAGGTGGTTTGATGAAAATGGGCAAGAATAATTCCGATAAGTTATAGGGGATGAGGCCCTGTTCGACTAGTGGGTTCTGTTGAACAAAATGGCCACATGCATGGCACAATTCCAGGGGTTGCACAACTGGTCTAGTCATCTTTCTGTAATGGAAAGAGAAATGAGTAAGTTGTCTGTCAATTTTTTAGCTCACCTGAGCCGAAGGCTCAAGTGAGCTTTTCTGATCAAAATTTGTCCGTTGTCTGTCGTCGTCGTTAACTTTTCACATTTTCAACTTCTTCTCAAGAATCACTGGGCCAATTTCAAATATTGGAATTGTTTTACTGTTCTCAAGTTTTTTTTTCTTTTTCTTTTTGCTTACCCAAATCTGTCAGACATTTTTCTAACAGTTGAAAGTGATCCCTCATCACTGTGGAATTTGCCATTCCGTAGCGACCACGGTCAGTGGAATCAGGGGTCCTCAACGCTATGTCAGGGTGTCTTTTTCAAAAACCCTCTAAACCATTTATTTGATGGTCCACTAACAACATTGACATTAATCACGGAGTTGCCTTTCTTGATGATTTCTCTTGCAAATGCCTGTTTATTTATGGGATTATTTTATCAAGAGTAAACGGATGTGACATTTTCACATTTTATTTTCATATTGTTTTACAATTTTTATTTCTTATTTTATCGACATTTTTGTTTTTAAATCAGTAATTTGTCTGAATTTTGTATATTTATTATTTTAATTGCCTTTGTGTAAAATGATTTGCCTGTGTTCATAATAACTTCAAGTAAAGGAATTTCTTTTTAAATTTTCACCTTTATCATTTTCCGTGTGAGAGGAAATGCCCTCTCTGCAAAATATTTAATGTATGCAACAAGACTGTCCTCTTGCACTCGACTGAGGCATCTCACAGGATATCCTTTAAGATGATTGGCAAGTCTGTACCGCAGTGTCCGTCCGCACAGGGATGTTGTATTTGTTGACTGTATATACTACTGATTTATTATTTTTTGCATCTTTGATGGCATTCAATAAGTCTGTATTTGAGTAATTTTTTCTTTTCCGCATCTTGATACAAAATAAAATAAATTTATACTTTTGTATTTAATACAAGTGTATTTCTTTGTAATAGAAGATAGATAACTATTTCAGTAAAAAAAAGTGGAGTAGTTCATTTTATAGGAGTAACGCCCCTTTTGATAAAGGCGGATTATTTGATTCACTTCCGGCTGGAGAAAGTAAAATGGCGAGATGTTGACATTGAGACTAAGTGAAGTTTAAACATCATATGGAGGAATTGAGACATTGAAACTCAAAGACATGTTTTTATAAGGGATTTTCACCAAGAAGGTAATTTTCTTGCATTTCAACATTTTAAGCTGATGTTTTCACTCAAAAAACCGGTTATAAAGGAATTTGCAGGATGGCATGTGCTGTCGCATGTGTCATAATGGCTGTGTATTGCAAGACTTACCTTTGATAATGCTTAAATCTTTCTCTTTGATAGGGAAATCTCTTCTCTGGCAGTTTGCAGTGCTTACAAAAATGACGCAATTTACGTTTTTTACGTCATAATCAAAAAATAACAAAGATTGGCGGAGTTTTTATTGTTTTTATTAAAAACGGCAATAATGGGTACTCGGCAATAATGGGTACTCGCACGTTACATGTATATGCATATATATTATAAAGCTTCATGTATACAGTGGGTTTCAAAGTTTGCCTTTACGGATTAGTGATGCTAAACATAATATTTCGTAAAAAATAATTCTTACAGTTCAGTTTTTTTCCTTTAAGTTTGCTCCGCCATATTGATACTCCGTAATCCTACAGCATGGCTGGGTTAGCGTGGGTAGAGTTCATAAGGTCATATGACGTAATATGAGTAGTAACTGCAGTCGTTCGATTGAAACTCTAGTAACCAGAGTACGTACTCGGGTACGAATCGAAGTCGCCCACTGTGGGACGTTGAGATTGGTCCTTCGGGTTAGACCGTATTAACCAAGGTCCCGTTTTGCAATAAGTACTGGCACGAAAAAGATCCCTCCCTGCTTTCTTCCAGACATTTAGAAAATGTAAATACTTCTTCCAATTCCTCAGAGAAAGAACTGTTTTTGGTATTTCTAGTCTTCTCCTCGGCTGCTTTGAATTCTGGTTTTTCTGATGTAAAGTCATCATCGGGGGGCATTGATGAAGCGTCCTTAATTTGGATGCTATGCTCACTGGATGTTGGGGAGGGTGACCGTCCATCCGTGTCACTCCGTACAAAGTCTTGTAAATCTGAAGCACCATTGGTACCGGTACATTGGAACCGGTGGAATTGCATGGCAGTTCCAATTCCTTTTCTAGGCAATCGCGATTCCTTGGAGAGCTATCATTCTCTTCTCGTTGTGTCTCCTTGCTTGGTTCAGCCAGGATTCTTCCATTCTCCGGCGGGTCGTAAGGGAGTTATTGGGGGACTCCTCAGAATATGTTTGAACATTTAGAGGCTGTATTTTCGTTTCACGAAATAGGTTTGCGATCCGGCGGATGCCACAATGGGGGCCTATCCTTGCATTTTTAACCCTGTTTACTTCTTCTGGAGAACCACACTTACAGTTTATACAACCCATTTCAATTGCGCTTTTGTATGTGTCAAGATTGTGCAAACATAACTAATAACAATGGCTACAATACTGTGACATTTCAATGATTGTGACGTCATAATATCTAATCTACTTTTACTTATCCTGACGTCACAATTTTATATCCTTTTAGCTGTTATCTAATTGACCGTGGCGGAAATTTTTCCTTATTAAAAAAAGGGAATAAAAAGAAAGAGGTAAAAAAAAATTCCATTAAAAAATAATTTCAGAATTTCTTATTCTAATTACTTGATTTTGAAAAGGTAATAACTGAAGTAAATTAAGTAAAATAGCGTTATTAATAATTTGTACATGTTGTGTGTGTATGTAAATTATGAGATATAACTGTTACATTCACTCATTTTCTTTTTCTATAAAAACAAGATTTGTTTGTTCAACACTGATGCCCCCGTATGGCAACATAGCGAAGACTAACTTTTCTAAAACGCAAATTAAATATATTGGTTCTTAATGTAGGGTCTTCTCACAAGAATTACTATAGTGAAATATGAAAGCCCTAGCACCTCTGTTCAAAATTTATGACCAAGGATAAGATTTTGAAAGATAGGTCAAACTCAAAGGTAAAAGTTGTTGGTTTCCTAAGAAAGGTCTAATGTCTCAAGGATTACATATGTGAATTATGGAAGCCCTAGCCTTAACCGTTCAAAAGTAATGGCCAAGGTTTAAGTTTTTTAAAAGTAGGTCAAACTCCATGGTCAAAGGGTAAAAGTCCTTGATATCAAATGGACGTTTTTGTCACAAGGATTAAATATTTAAAGTATGAAAGCCCTAGCCCCAACCCTTCCAATGTTATGGTCAAGCTAAAGGTTTGTTTTTTTTAAAAGAGTCAGACTTCAAGGTCAAGGGGTCAAAGTTCTTGGTATCCAGTGAAGGGTTTTCTAACAAGGATTTCATATTTGAAGTAAGAAAGCCTTAACCGTTCAAGAGTTATTGCCAAGGTTAAATTTTGATAAGTATGGAAATCTCCAAGTTGTTAGTATCCAATGAAAGGTCTTGCCACAAAAAATACATATGTACAGTCTAAAAGACCTAGTGTCTACCGTTCAAAAGTAATGGCCGAAGTAAAAGATTGGAATTTTTGTGTAAAAGTGTGTCAAGATCTAAGGTCAAATTTTGTGGTACCCAAAGAAAGGTCTTGTCACAAGTACTACACATGTGAAATACGAAAGTCATAGCTCCACTAAATCAAAAGTTATGGACAAGGTTCAAGTTTTTACGGACAAACAGACAGACGGACAGACACGACAAAAAACTATATACCACGAATCTTCGATTACGGGGGCATAAAGAAATCAGTTATTAAAAAAAATCAACTTAACCTTACTTAATCAGAACGAATATATTTGAATACAATGAAGCGATATCAATGCATTTAATATAAAAATGGAATTAAGAACCAAATGCTACGGCTTTAAAGGGAGTTAGAAATAACATCTTAATGATTTGAAGAGCTTATAATGAAACAAAATTAAAAATACATTAAATATATTTGTTTATGGTCTACAGACATTGAAGATGACATGCCTTTCATGTCAAAGAATGATATATTTCTTGCAAACAAAAAGAACGAACAAAAGTTCATTGACTTGCTTTAAGAGAATATTAAGGAAGACTGGAATAACAGTGTTGATGTATTATGATCGGGCTTGGGATGCTTGTAATTAGTTGTTATGTTTAGACGCCATACTTGAATAAATGTGTTCATTTAGAAGTCATGTTTCATCAATGATTAGCCCTGATAGGCATATCAACATGGTGGCAGCGGTGCAAACTTGTTGTTAGTGTTACCGGTCGTCCCCGAAAGTGATGCTCCGTGAACTATTGTGAGTTTTTATAGACAAACTTGGAATTTATTTTTCAACACGTGCTCTGTACACAACCGCCATATTGGATCCAGACTCCATTCTCAGTAGCCTGAAATTTTTATTCGGAATGGGTGAACAAGAACAAGCCGCAGGACCTGTACAGGTGTACAATTGTCCGTTCAGATTACCTCCCCAACTTGATTTATCCTCTGGAAATGTATCCGAGAACTACAAAAAGTGGAAAAGACAAGTTGAAGTTTACATGTCTGCGTCAGGAGGAATCGACAAAAGTAAAGAGGTACAAGTAGCAATTATTTTGAGTTGTGGTGGACCTCACGTAGTTGAGATATATGACCAGTTTCAGTGGGAAGACGAATCCCATAAGAATGACCCTGCTAAGTTATATGAGAAGCTACAGGCCTATTGTAATCCTCGTTCCAACGAAGTGTTAGAGTCTCACAGATTCTGGAAGTTACCTTATCAGGAACCCTTTGACAAATTTCTTACAGAATTAAGAACACGTGCAGCGTCGTGTAATTTCCAGGAACAAGAGAGGATGATGCGTGACAAGATTGTATTTACAGCTACTGGTAAGCTACAAGAACTACTGTTACGAGAAGACAAATTGACTTTGAACAGAGCAATTCAGATATGTAGGGCTTTTGAACAGTCAAATATACATGTGAAGGAGCTGCGAGAAAACATCACTTCATCTATCAAAGTGAATAAACTATCTACAAACAAACGTCAGAAAAACTTCACAAAGCAGAAAGTGACACACAAACAGAAAAGTGAATTACAGTCTTCGAGCAAGGAGAAGAAAGAGTGTGATTTCTGTGGTTATAAACATGAACATGGCAAATCAAATTGTCCGGCATGGGGCAAAAGATGTGACAAGTGCAACGGGAGAAATCATTTTAAGTCCAAATGTAAGAAAATACATGCTGTTGGTGAAGATAGTGAAGACAGTCCAGAGTTAGAAGACAGTTGGCTCCTCGCATTGAAAAGTAAAGACAGACAGAGCAAAGACATCACTGCGATAATGAATGTAAATGATTGTGACGTACGTTTTCAGTTGGACAGTGCAGCTGACGTAAATACCATTTGTCAGAAATATGTGAAGAAGGAACAGTGTCGTCCGTCAAACATTCGTCTTAACATGTGGAACAACACTCATATGAAACCCCTCGGTGAAGCCGATCTTGATGTAATCAATGTGCGTTCCAACGTCGTCCAGAAACTTAGATTTGTAGTTGTGCAAAACAATCTTACCTGTCTACTTGGCAAGGATGCAATTCAAGACATGGGACTTGTGACAGTGAACAGTACATCTATACATTCTTTAACACAGTACACACACGGAGAAAGTGAGAAGTTCATATCTAAAATTGGATTAGAACAGCCTCTTGGTGACTTGGGCATAGCAACTCTGAAAGTTGACCCCAGTATTCAACCCAAAGTACTTCCGTGCAGGAAAATACCGATTGCTATCCAGGACTCAGTTAAGCAGGAAATTGACAGACTTGTTGATCGAGGTGTTTTGATACCAATTACAGAACCAACTTTGTGGGTTAGTCAGATGGCAGTGGCTCACAAGTCGGATGGAAAGTTGCGAGTTTGTATAGATCCACAACCTCTTAACACAGCTCTGATACGAGAGTACTACAGATTACCTGTATTAGATGACGTACTTCCAAAGCTAACGAATGCTAAGGTATTTAGCAAACTTGACGTTAAAGAAGCGTTTTGGCACGTTCGCCTTGATGAGAAGTCGAGCAAACTTACAACTATGATAACGCCATTCGGGAGATACAGGTGGGCTCGTTTACCTTTCGGATTGAAAGTGTCTAGTGAAATCTTCCAGCGACGGTTAGACGAAGCATTATCAGGACTGGAAGGTGTGTTTAGCATTGTTGATGACATTATCATTGCAGGATGTGGTGACAGTGAAGAAGCAGCAAAACGTGACAATGAACTCAAGATGCAGAAAGTTTTCCAGAGATGTGAAGAGAGACATATTACACTAAACAAGGATAAGGAAGAATCCGGACTTCGTGAAATTTCATTTCATGGACACAAAATTTCTAAAGATGGTGTCAAGGTTGATGAAAGTAAAGTGAAAGCTATCCTTGAAATGCCAGCACCGACTGATGTCTCGGGAATCAAACGCTTATGTGGAATGGTTCAATACATGTCAAAATTCCTACCAGATTTGTCGAAGGTATTGGAACCGCTACGACTACTTACCCGTAAAGACCAAAAGTGGAACTGGGACAGCAAATGTGAGTCAGCATTTCAGACTTTGAAGCATAAGTTGACAGAAACTCCAGTTCTGGCTTATTTTGATCCTTCAAAGGATGTTACACTGCGCCATTTGAATGGAACAAAACAACAAGTTGACAGCAGCAAAGAAGGAATTGGTGCCGTACTACTCCAAGATGGAAAGCCGGTCGAGTACGCATCAAGAGCTCTTACAGAAGCAGAGAGAAAATGGGCTCAGATAGAGAAGGAAGCTTTATCAGTTCTCTATGGACTTGAACGCTTTGATCAGTACACTTATGGAAGAAAAGTTTTTATCCATAATGATCACAAACCATTATCTGCTATATTGCGCAAACCATTAGGATTAGCACCTAAAAGACTGCAAGACATTATGATGCGTTACTTCAGATACGATGTAGAATTTGTATTTGAGAAAGGAGTGAACCTTGTTATAGCGGATACACTAAGCCGAGCTTTTCTCATGACAACGAAAGGAAGTGTTGATGAGCGTCACAGGATTCTATCTGTCTCGACGTTACAAGAAAATGACGTACCAGATATCAGGATTCAAGAAATTAAGGACATGACTGCTAAAGATTCAGAGATGCAAACATTGGCTGACACCATAGCCAATGGATGGCCTGACAGTAAACAAAATCTTCCAACGAGTGTGCGTCATTACTTTGATTTTCGTGACACTCTTAGCTTTGAAGATGGACTCATCTTGAAAGGTGAAGCAGTCGTCATTCCAAAGGCACTTAGATCAGAAATGAAGATGCGATTACACAAAGCACATCTAGGATATGACAGTATGATTAGGAGAGCTCGTGGTGTTATTTTTTGGCCTGGGATGAAATCCGACATAAAACAGATTGCAGATTATTGTGGAATTTGTCAGGAAAGAAAACCGAGAAACTGTAAGGAACCTTTACTTCAGCATTCAACATGTGAATTTCCCTGGCAGAAAATTGGACTTGATTTATTCGAGATACAAGGAAAACACTACATGGTCTCGGTAGACTACTTTTCCAGTTTTATTGAGGTAGATTACTTACCAACAACGACAAGTGCAAGAGTTATTTCATTGCTTAAGAAACAGTTCTCTAGATTTGGCATACCAAACATTATAATATCGGATGGTGGACCACAATTTAGATGTCAAGAATTTCAGGATTTTGTGAAGACCTGGAAGATCGATCACAAATTCTCATCTCCGATGCATCAGCAAGCAAACGGAAAGGCTGAATCTGCGGTGAAGATCATCAAAACACTGATGATAAAAGCACAGGAGGATGGAACAGATCCGTATGAAGCGTTACTTGAACAACGTTGTACTCCAAGACAGGATACCGGTTTAAGCCCAGCACAGATGATGTTCAACAGAGAGATACGTGCTACACTCCCTATGAGATCTCGAGTGAGCAATGATTTTGGAATAGTGAAATCCAAACACAGATCCAGACAGATTGCCGTGAAGAAATCTTACGACAAGAAAGCACGAAACTTACCTGAAGTCGATACTGGACAGTCCGTTTATTTCCAACACCGGGAAGGACAGTATTGGAAGCTTGGAAAAGTGATTCAAATACTTGGACAGAGAACATACGTTATTGCAGACCAACAAGGAGTCGAATATCGAAGGAACCGAATTCACATTAGACCAACCAAAATACAGACCCATATTCGTGATCAATCTCCAATTCGTGATGAACCAATCAGCAAACGTGTACTCTGTGAATTTCCAAAACCGTTTAGTGGACCAAACGAGTCTATATCTAGCAAACAGATACCGGTGATTACAGGCTCGAACGAACAACTTTGCGTACCAAACTCGATTTCAGAAACTGCCGTCAGCAAGCCTCATAAGGATATTACGCCAGATACTCGTGCAATGCCAATATCGCGTGAACCGTCTTCAAGGATCCGTAGGAAACCAGCATACTTGAAAGATTATGTCCAAAAGTGATTGAAATACTGTTTAATGCTATTTGATTATTTTGTTAGAAAGTTAATTAACAGTTAATGATCATTTATTTGGGAAATGTTCAGTTTAATTGTTTATACAATGTACATCTTTCTCAGAAGGGGGGATGTTGATGTATTATGATCGGGCTTGGGATGCTTGTAATTAGTTGTTATGTTTAGACGCCATACTTGAATAAATGTGTTCATTTAGAAGTCATGTTTCATCAATGATTAGCCCTGATAGGCATATCAACAAACAGTACATAATGCGACGGGAGATGCAGACCTTCTTTGTGTAAAAACTGCTATCGTTAAATATATTGAAACTCGTATTTGGTTAAGACACCGATCGTCTCGTTCTCCTCTGATTTTGAGATGAACTATATTTTACTAAGGTAAATAAAAACAAAGAGGTCTGAAATATTCTCCCTGCAATCCATGCATTGTGTGGATGTGATATAACATCAAGAATCTACGGTAGTGGGCTATTCTAAAAAAAAAAGGCGCCAATTCCAAGACTTCCAGACACTAATCTCGAGTTTGTCAACAATGCGTGACAGCATTGTGAAAACTGGAGAGGATATGTTGGTACTTTTGTATGGTGGCATTCAACATGAGAATTTAAACCTTTAAGGATACAGAAAATCTACAGCTAGAGTTTTAAAAGGGAAATTGTAAGTTCAAGGGCGCTTTCCATTAAACAGGCAATTGGATTTACCGATGTTGCCGTTGACACCGGATAATGGAACGCGCATTGCTGACTGGCGACTGCGGTCACACAAATTTCTATTGCCGATTCGGAAACAAGATGGCGGAGTTATTGAGTCGAGGGATTTTATTTACGAAAATCGAGGCTTTTTTGGTGTTATATATTTTGAAAATATCGTTCCATCTTGGTGTATGATAAAAATGATCTACAAGTCAGCGGATACGATTTTTGTGATGAGTACACAGTATATTGTTTATTTTATATGAAAGTATCAATAAATTGTTCCGAGTTTCCTCTTTAATATTTTTCCCTCTAATATTTTACTGTTCTGAACTTTAGGTAAGTATCAGGCGGTTACAATCAGTAAAAGACAACGATTTTTTCCCGTAATCTTTGAAAATTACGTCATTTAATGCCGTCTTTTGGCTTTTCTTTCCGAGTTTCACTGCAAAAGTTGTCTTCGAAATTTATCCTAATATTTTCATAAGACCGAGCCTTTTTCACTGTCCTGGGTGTAATTCTTTGTTTTTATCTATGAGTCATTTCAACCAACACAAATGTCGAACACAGTCACCTGTGCAGCCTTTGTTATTGAGGGAAAACATGACTACAATAGACAGATAGGTTTTTCAAAATCACAACAAGAATTGCTGTGTTCAACTTAAATCAACAATTAAGGTTCATGAAATATTTTTATTTCATTACATAAAACAGTTAAATTTAAAAATTATATTCTCCATGACCTTTTTTTGATTCAAGGATTTGCTTTTAAATTCAAGATATTATATCCTTTTAATTGTGTTTATACATTTGTGTCTGTGTAAAGAACTGACTGGCTCTGAATAAATTGAGATTTTTGTTTTCAAATTAAAAATGTTAATTTTTTCTTATTATGAAATTGTAGATTATGGAATGCCATATACGACAGCCAACTGCTTACTTCCAACTGCTGACTGCTTACTGCCAACTGTCAGCTGCTTACTGCCAACTGCCACACATATTTGAATAAATTTAATTTTTATATTGATATTTATGTAAATTTAAATAAAAAGGCACGGATCTATAGGACATTTTTTCCAAGAGGGTCAGTCTGGTAAAAAAAAATCCAACCCAGAAATTTCTTGACAAGAAAAAAATACGTAAAGTCCTTTCCTAAATGTGAAAATTTATTTCGGCCGGGGAGAGGGGGTTCTTATGCGTCATATCTTCATGTGTATGACATTTTTCATACCAACTTAACACGAATCTACATTTTCGGTTGGGGAGTGGGGGGTGGGGTTTCTAAGGTCCCTTTTAGTTGATTTATTTTATACATTAACTAACTTTTACTTGGTTTAGTTTGTGCATTAAATAACTTTACAAATTTCAGAGGGGTGTTCCGGACCCCTCTCTCTAGATCTATGCATGTAAAACATATTCTATTTGTACAAACAAAGAGATAAAAATGTTTTATCGGCGTTTCCTAAGTGGAGGGTCCAAGGGTTATACCGGTAGTTCGTTTAGTTTATTTAATATATTACTGTACAAATTTTAAATGCCCCCCCCCCACAGATCTATGAATGTGAAACATAACAGGGACATAGCAACAGGGGGGCCTGCCCCCCCCCCTCCCCCCCCCATTTTTCCCAACATTACCTTTACTATTGAAAATGTATATTCAAAGGATGGTTGCCCCCCCCCCCACTTCTTACCATAGTATAATGATATCAAGGATATGTAGTATTGCGTGGAAAAAAAGTAAGTGAAAGGTAGTTGGCCTTAAAAAAAGTTAGCCACCCCCCCCCCCCCCACCCACGAAATAGGATTTTCGATTTTGGTCAATTCCCCCCCCCCCTTTTTTTTTTTTAAATTTTTTTTGCTTGTCAACTTTTTCAGGTAAGTAAAAAAAATTTTCTCTGGTTGCCCCCCCACTTTCAAAAACGTTGCTACATGTACGTGCCTGCATTATAACACACAGAGATATACATCTTTAATTTGAGGAAATTTTTAACTATAGAATATAATGGAAAACGGAAATTTATTTTCAAAACATCTTTCTCTGCAAAACGACAAATCTTTTTTATTATTATTATTATTATTCTCTTCAAAGGTTTTGTTGTCTCCGGGGGAGGGGGGGCTTCTTTAAAGATTAAAAGCAGAAAATAGTCATTTTATTACCTATTTCAAATCGGAAAACAAATAAAAAAATAAACAATGTACTTTATCAACCGCATATATTGAATATTACATAAGATAAAACATATTGTTCATTTTATTCAATTCAATTTTACCAGGGTAACCCCCTTGGAAAAAATGTCCTGGATCCGTGCCTTTTTTGTGAAAATTCATATAAATATCAATACAAATATAAAATTTATTCAAATATGTGTAGCAGTTGGCAGTAAGCAGCTGACAGTTGGCAGTAAGCAGTTGGCTGTCGTATATGGCATTCCATAGTAGATAGATATTCTTGCTCACTTATTTCTTTCTGTATTACAAGCTTGTTTAAAATAATTTTATAGACTGAAAGCAAGGTAAATAAAATTCAATGGTTTTAAATGTAAGAATCGGTTATTAATCTTTACGATCACGTATTTGCAGTTGAGGGGCCGGTCCTTCGGATGAGACCGTATAAACAGAGGTCCCGTGTCGTAGTAGGCGCTGGCACGAAAAAACCCTCCCTGCTCAATGGCCCTGAGTGCCGTGTATAGGTCAAAATTTGTAGCACTCCACCGCGGCAAGTGGTGGTGTCTCCACATGAGTGAAAAATTATCGAGAGGGATGTTAAACAACATACAATAAATCAGTCAATCATTTGAAAAAGGTGGATGGGGGGCACTATCAAACCAAAAATTCCATGACTTCTGACGTTTTTATTGAGGGGTCACAAGCTCGTAATTGTTTGGCATTTTTCTATAGTTATCTAGACTAGTATATATCAGCAAAATTATACCCCACACCTTCGGTTCCCATAACCATGCGACATTTTTAAATTTACTAATCATAGGCTCTTGTACTCCAGGTGATAGTATTTTGATACCTGTGTAGAAGATAAGTTGCATCACCAAGAATGTGCATATCCCCGAGGAAGAGCTGATTACTAGTAGTTCTGCTGTAGACCAGTGAGTTATTGAAATCTCGCGCATCATGTACTGATCCTGGCCATCCAGACATAATATCGCTGAATCTTAAATTGTGGTCACATACAGCCTGAAATAAGTTAATCTTTTTTAGAAAGGTCTTGCAATTTGAGTTTTTTAAAAAAAATTTTGCAATTTTGTTTTCTACGTACATGTGATTTGCACCGTTTTCTTCATATATTTTACATGTCGTATTTAATACTTCCAATACCTTCAAGACACAGGGGCCGATAACATACTGTTTTTGATTTTACGTAATCACTATATGTATACAAAAAGAGAAAGGGAAACAACGTCAGCTCGAATTTACACAGAGTCGATCTCGGAAATGACTCGTCTTTTCAATAAAATACCTTGCACTTACTGAATTAACATCTGGGATCATTCAGTAATGTCAATTATTACTGAATGATCCCAGATGTTAATTCAGTAAGTGCAAGGTATTTTATTGAAAAGACGAGTCATTTCCGACTCTGTGTAAATTCGAGCTGACCCCTTTCTCTTTTTGTATACATATAGTGATTACGTAAAATCAAAAACAGTATGTTACCGGCGCCTGTGCTTCAAGATTACAGAATAATCTTTCTTTTTTTACGTGAGGTAGAACAGCGGGTGATACAATTCTAATTTGGATGTGACATCCGTCCACGGCGCCAATTACTCCGGGAAACCTCTCATTTCCTCAAAACCCACCACAACTTCATTTGCCCGAACACCTAAAAATTGCGTACAATGTACATATAATGTATTTATTTTGTACGGAAACGTATAATGGGAAAATGTATTGAAATTTAATATAGCTGTAATGGGTGCATTGCCTATACTTCACAAATATACATGTCCATTTAAAATATATTGAGATTTGCAAGTACTTAAAGGTATAAATGGCAAATCTGAAATAAAAATAAAAATACAAGAGTAAGTGTAGATTTACATGATATTTGTTACCTATAGTAAACTTACTTTTAGTTGTGTCCGATATTAAAATTTTAATGATGAATCCGACTCGGAAATAAATCGGCTACTTGTTTTAAATCTCTGATATCTACGAAACGCGACTGATTTAAAATAAAATCGTGTAGTTTTCTGGAAAGTCCTATCTTTTTATAAAGTAACAAAACAAATAGAAAGATCTTTTAATTTTAGTTAGTCTGAATTTATCAAAAATTAATA